TTGCCCCTATTCGGGCGAAATCTCACATACATACCTCAACCATGGTATTGCGATTATAGAAGATGTAATACCTAGTACAGGGTCCCCACCTGATATGCTGAAATGCATGTATTGAATGGTTTGCAACTGTCGGAGGCTCGACTCTCCACAAGCTACAAAATATATAAGCACAAAATATATTTTAAGTACTTATCTTAAACCGAAAACTCGAATTATATTATCTGAGCTGTCTAAGTTCGCTCACTTAGCTTTAAAAATCATTTTAGGGATATACAAGCTGGTTTTGAAAATATTATTGTCTTTGAAGCATTCTAGAGTTCTCTGAGATATTTCTATTTTTAGAACTAAAATATGACTTAATCTAGTCTGACTGAAATCTAAATTATATCTGCATCTTAAATCTATCTGGAATCTTAACTATATCTGAAATCTTAAATATATCTGAAATCTTAATCTGACTAAATCTGAAATATATCTCGAACCGTCCGAACCGGTTCAACTGAACTTGACCGACAGCTCACTCGGAGCTGGTCGGTCATTCGCTTGACTATGTGCAACTCGGTTTGACCGTGGTCCGAGTTCGGCGTGGCAACTCGGGCCGGCACGAACTGACACGGCTTAGCCGGTGCACGATTTTGAAATGGTGCCACTGTCACTGACGTAGGGGCATGCTTGGACCACGGCTAACGGAACAGTGCGTAGACGGTAGGTCGGATGGACTCGGTGCACGGGCACGCACTCGGGGTTTGACTCGGACTCGGTGCACGGGCACGCACTCAGCGGTTCAGCTCCAACGGTCGGACGAGAGGCGATCCCGGGCACGAGACGACGATACACATTACGAATTACGATACGACAACTAGTAATTATCGAGACGGTACTAGGGTTCAAACAATTATATCCGGATCTGTAAAAATACTCGATTATCCGAACTGAATAAACTAGGATTTTTGATTCTCAAAAATCCTAACTCGTTTAAGGCCGATAATTATAATATATTCTATATGATTTATATCAATTTTATAATCAACTACTGCAGTTAAAATCATGTCCAACTAATATAATAAAATATCGCGAAATGAGGCTAATGTCTCAATTTTTAGTTTATATCAAATGGTGTCCGAACATTACAAAATTCGAAACACACCATTTTCAACACCTACATGGCTCATGGTCAAAATATCGAGACAAAATTCAACTCCTAACTCATTCAACTCTCAATCGCTTCAACCGGTCAAATT